CCAATTTTCTATTAATTATAGCAATAATTACTCTTGCCTAATGTGTTTAGCAACCTATTTAAAGATATGGGTTTCATTTCATTAATTGCTTTTCCCGTTTATTGATACAGAATCACGAACTCATATTTAATCAAAAAGGTCTACGTTTATCTGAACTTATATATATATATATATATGTATGTATGTATGTATGTATTTTTGTATGTATGTGTGTGTGTATGTATGCACAATAGTAAAAGGTTGACAAATTATAGTCACAATGTCAACAAGCAACTTCTAAACCTATGATGACAAACAAAGAGATATCAGTGTTGCTAAATTATTCATATCAGCAAATCGCTTCGGCATATAGCGTCCAACTTTGGCTGAGAGGTTTGCAAAAAACGTGTTTTTTTCGAAATATATTATATGATAATTATAGTCTATATAGTCAGTAAATCTTTCGACAACTATCCCGCGAATTGTGGGATAACATGTTCTCAGAATAATTGTGCAGGAAATGCACAACTTTTACTCCAATTGTATGATTTACTTCAAATGCATATATCAAAACTCTGTACCAACCATCTGTATGAGGCTGACCACACAATGTGACCATATTTTCTGTCTGTGCCTCACGTATGCAACCTCACCGGATAAAGCGAAATAGGAAGTTGTACTTGTCAAAAATGTGAATATTACTCTTGCATACTCGAACCTACTCAACTGCTATAACGCATGAAATGTGTGTTTCGTGGCTCGACTGACCTGTAAATTGCGTTCCAAAATGATCGCAGCTACCACAAACACATTTCCCACAATTGTGCACAGTATGATTGTGCCCAGAAGGATGGCCGTGAAGTAGACATGCAGCTCGCCGTAGGCCAGCTCGAAACGGGCATAATTCCACGGCGATCGAGCTCCGCCGAATGCAGGCCTCGTGTCGGCGTCGGTGGCGTTGTCAACCACCGTTCGGTTGTTCTCGTGGAACATTGAAGCAGGGCTCTGTTGAAGAGGGGCCATTTGAGAGGACTTCTTCGTTTATGCCCAGCCCGGCAAGTGGGATTTGGCCCGGCTCACGAAGCAGCTTTCGCACATGAGCCTTTGCAACTTTGATAGTGAATTGTTGATCTGATGTCTCCTTATCCGAGCATATTATTGCAATTTCTTATTACTTTATTATTATTATTATTATTATTATTATTATTATTATTATTACTTTACAGTAAAATCATGATTTTGCCCAAACGCATCCATTGTCACAGCACAAACTGTC